CAGCTGCTGAAACCTCTTCAACAGGTTGTCCTCATCATCACTTTGATGTCTCAAACTCAGCTTGCAATCACGAACCCAGTGTCCTTCCTCGTTGCAATGTCTGCATCTTACCTGAGTTTTTGCTTTTGAGTGTCTCTGATATTCACTTTCTTCATACCCCGTTGTCCTTTTGTTGTATGACAAGGTTTTGGATTGCAAAGCTCTGAGATTGACGTCTTGTGTTCTTTCGATCTTTGCTGACCATTCAACAATCTGCGTAAATGTTGTTCCAGTGCTGTCCCAGTCATCATACCTGATTCTAGGGTTAGGTTAGGTTAGGTTTTAGTATTTAAAAGAATCACTTTTCACTTTTTTATCATCATTGCATATTACTCTACTGAACTTTTTTTTTTACATTTAAAACATTATTAATATTGTGTTTATAAAGATAAAAAATGCACTACAAAGTCAATTTAGGGGGCAAATATTGTCCTTTAATGGAAAAGGTGCAGTATCCTTGATTACAGGAGCAAGTCTAAACTTTGAGTTCCTTGTAGCCTGAACACATGTGTTGATGTTAAATTCAGTCCCACTGTCAACAGAGTTGCTTGAAGATTTTAATTCCTGTCATTTGGAAAGTAAAGTCAGCAACTTGTCATTTTCATTTAAAACTGAACTTTTTTTTTTACATTTAAAACATTATTAATATTGTGTTTATAAAGATAAAAAATGCACTACAAAGTCAATTTAGGGGGCAAATATTGTCCTTTAATGGAAAAGGTGCAGTCTAATTGGAGGAGAGGGGGTACACAGAAGGATGGTAAATGATTTGAAATAAAAGTTTGTTTAACAGTGAAAATTGAGTCTTACATTATTTAAATTTTATTCACACACAAAACATTAATGGTGAACATTTTTGACTTTATAAAATTATTCTCTCAAGTCTTGGCAATCGGCCCCTATTAAACAATAAAGAAAGACATATTTTTCTTATACATAGTTTAGTAGCCTACTATTCATTTAGGCAGAATTTATCATTACAATCATCTTAATTATTTCCTGGATTCTATATCACCATAGTCCCTAAATGTATGTAAATGCAGGAAATGGGATTGAATTCAAAAACAT